CCTAATTCTCACTCAGTTTTTCATTTTGAAACATAAATGTAACTGACACAAACCTCCATTCCAGGTGCCCAAGCACAGGCTGCTCCCTGAGCTTCGGCCCTTCAGCTGGCACATTGCAGGGGGTTTCTCCCTTGGACTGGTTTTTCCAAGCTCACCCAATCTGGTTATTTCCTGGGTCCCAGCCCAGGCCCAGTCAGCTCCTCAGCTCAGGACGGCCACCGGCCACATTCTCCTTCCTTTCTAATTACCTCTTTCAAAATGGATTCTTTGCACACACCAAACTTGCTCTGGGTGGGTGCAGTGTTTCTTACATTTCACTGCTGCTTTGGCTCAAATGGCCTCATTTACATGAGGTTAAAGCCACTAATTTAAAACATACAAAGCAGGTGCCGCAGAAAGCCGTCATCAGAAAGAAGGCCATGGAGAGACAGCGAAAGGCGTTCAGCCTGATATTCCCCACTTACCAGAAAATTCCAGCCGTGAGAAGCCTCTCAACACCTCAGAGTATTTCCTGAGTCTGCTTGGCCCCTGATGTGAGCCTGTACAAGCTCACCCTGCTGCCTGTCTCTTCTGGGAATGACCCCCTCGGGCAGGGCACTAGGCTCCACTGCCCTACAGCCAGCACACACATTTCTCATGGCTCATGTCCTCTCAGAGTGGATGCACTGGGAGGGAAGCATGGGGAGAAGCCTTCAGCCACTGAACATCACATCACAGGAATCATACAAGAACACAGCAACAGAACAACAGAACAACAACAGAATCTTACAAAGATCATAGCAAGCTTGTGGATGATACCAATCTGTGTTATGGTCAGTGTGCCTGAGGGATGGGACGTCATCCAGAGAGGCACAGACAGGCTCAAACAGTGGGCTCAAATGAACCTCATGAGTCAACAAAACCCAATCTGAGGTCTTGCACTTGGGTCGTGGCAACCCCTGCTATCAGCAGGAACAAGCTGGGGAATGTAAGGATAGAAAGCAGCCCTGCCAAAAAGACCTGGAGGTGCTGGTGGATGGGAAGTTGGACATGAGCCAGCAATGTGCCCTTGCCAACCATACCCTGGGCTGCATCAAAAGCAGCACAGCCAGCAGGGCAAGGGAGGTGATCCTGCGCCTCTGCTCTGTGAGACCTCACCTGGAGTACCGTGTCCAGATGTGGAGTCCTCAGTGCAGGAGAGTCATGGACCTGCTGGAGTGCGTCCAGAGGAGGGCCACAAAAATGATCCAAGGGATGGAACACCTCTCCTATGAGGACAGGCTGAGAGCTGGGGCTGTTCAGCCTGGAGAAGAGAAGGCTCCAGGGAGATTTGAGAGCTGCTTTTCAGTATCTAAAGGGGGGCTGTAAGAAGGAAGGGGACAGACTCTTGGACGGCAGCCTTATCTAGGAATGAAACACTTGTTTTAACTTGCAAACATACAACACCCACCCCCAGCTTTCCAGCCCCCATCCCAGAGATGAGCGCAGGAAGGGGCTTCCAAAGCGCACACAGGTCACGACTGCTTTGTGAATGATTCATAAGGAATGCTAAAAACAAAGTAAATGCAACATGTTTTATTTGACATTGGAATAAATTACAACTGTAAAGCATGATTTATTGCTTTATAAATTGTCTGCTCTTAAAAGGCATTAATATCAAACATAAATGAAACAAAGACACATTCGATTAGCAGTTCAGTTCTCTGAAGCTTTATGAACAGCTCAGTAGAGTGACTTCATTCTGTATACGACTGAAATCTCAGATCACAGGCTCATAAACTCGGCTTTGACATGCATTATGATCATTCAGACATACTGAGGGGACTGTAGGTGTGTTTGTTCATTTGCTTTAGGATACAATTTTTATTGCAATTTTCCCTAAAATATCCCACTGAATATCCAGTCCTTCATTCCTCACTCGAACACAGATCCCACTGATTTAAAAAAAAATACTTAAAGGATGCTTAGTTTTTTCTGCTCCTTCAGAAGAAGAGTTTTCAAATCTAAAACCAGAAATAGCGTGGTCCCAAAATGAACTTTTCCTAGATTAAAACCCTTAAGTCCCATGCACAGAAAGTGTTTTCTCCCACTTTGATTCTGGAAAAAAAATCCCATTATTATCTGAATTAACTGGGAATTAAATTACTGAATTACCATTTTTATTGCACAGTTAATCCCTGCTTGAGACTGGTATGAATTTTGCTTAGCACCTTCACTCGTCCAGGAACAGACCCAAGAAAGCCCAGTGCTGGGGCATGAGAGGCTGCTGGCAGCAGGCTGGGTGCGCCTGGCTCTTTGCGAAGTTCAGCCCTTGAAAGGACTTCAAGGGCAGAATCTGCCCAGCTCAGCAAGATGTAATGCTGAGAAGGTAAGCCAAAAAGACACTTCCTTGGCTTCCTGGGGAGCCACAGTTCCTGGAAGCCAGAGAAAGAATGGACTCTTGTGAATAACTCTCATTGTATCAAGGAAAAGGATTCCACTGAGGCATGCTGCCCTGCTCTGGCCCTCTCTGGGAGTGCTTTAACAGGCAGGTGCTCCTGTATGCTGGCTGCAGAAGAGCATCTCCTTGTGCTACTCCCCCAGGAAAGAGTGTGACCCTGTGCTTGCTTTTCTGGCTTTGTCCAAAGCAGCACAAAGTAAGTTGGCTCATGTCCTTGACAAAGGGCAAAGCTCTCCAGAAATGAAACTCCTATCTACATGAGACTCCTATCTATATCAGCACTTGGAACAAGCCGGAGAGCTTGCAGAAAAAATCTGCAGGGCAGCTTCTCTTCAAACTACAAAATCAATTTTAAGATGTATGAATCACCAGTACAGAAAATCCTTCTAGAAGTGGCTCGGCATTACTCAGACAGCTCCTATTTAGAGAAGGTTCCTCTCCTATCAGCACCCTTGTGCGCTTTTCATGCCTGCAAGAATGCAAACAGCAGAATGGGATGCTGGTTTTTGTTACTGTGTTACTGAATAGGAATGGCCAATCTATTACTGGATCCAAGAAATACATATCAGACTTCAAGATTACACTGATTCTAGTGCAATTTCAGTTTTCAATAACATTTCATCAGTCACGATGCATGTTCTATGCAGAATATCATTAAAAACAAACAAACAAACAATATTTCTCCTTCTAAGCAGTTCTCACGGAAGACCTGTTCTGTTGGGCCATAATACAGAGCCAGCATTGATCTCTGCAGGGCAGTACAGCAGATTTGGGGCGCTGTGCCCACCAGCGACAGCTCCCAACAAGTCAGGTGCCATTGCAGTGCTTTGCTGGAAGATGGGAACTATACTTGGGAGCTGTGCTGAACTGGGCCAAGCACTCAACATTTTTCAGTGTCCTCTTCATATAGGGATGAGCCTGGTTTAGCTCCCAGCCACACAGTAAAGTGCATCACGGAGAGGTGGGAAGCAACGGAGCCCCTTCCTCTACCTCAGCTCCTGCCTTGGGAGAATCTTGTGGAAAAGTGGTTTTGTGGCTGCTTTCTGCCAGCAGGACGGTACGTTGCAGCTGCAACGAGGGCACGCACATGGTGCACACCTGATTCATCACAGTGGTTCAGAAACATAGCTCAGAAATGCACAAGCCTTTAAAATCATCAGTCATCTCATTTACGTTCACCCAGAACAGATTCTTGGCTGACTTCTTTCTTTCCTTAGCAGATACGGATTTCTTTTGAAGATGAGAAGCAGGAAAGCTTGCCTTCAGGGACAGGCAGAGACACTCACAAATCAAAACGCACGCACACATCATCCACCACATCAGTGACCTCTAGTCTGCACTCTACAACACAACAGCTTATTGTTTGAACCTTCACTTCTCATCCCTTTCACAGATTCTCAGGACTGATCTTTCCTCTTCCAGTGAGAAGTTCAGTGAGGACTCTATAGCGAAAAACTAACCAGAGGAACAAACTGTTGCCACCAATGCAATGCAGGATTGCATTCAAGCCATGGACTCTAGAGGAGCAGGGTGAGGACCTGAGTTATTCCAGGTTCTGGTCCAGCATGCAGCAAAAAGGGAGTCAGCCTCACGGTTACTGTGCTGGCGTTGGGCAGACAGAGTTAATTCCCTACTGATCACACCCTCCTCTTGTGCTTGAAGTCACCAGGAAATGTAAACAGTCTGTATTAACAGACTGTTCAAACATACCCAGCAGAATGGCAGCCTCCAGACAGCTGAACTCCCAAGCAAAGACACTGACAAAGGCATCACCTCTGAAATGATGAGATGCCAATCCAAAGCCTTTTCTCCAGCACTGGTGCTGAGCACCTCCCTCTGAGATGTGAACACTGCTCTCCTATGAAAAGCTGTCCATGGCATTCAGTTCTGAATACAGTTCAGCAAATATCCCAGTGCATTTCTCCTCTCTCAGCAATTCTTAACAGCTTATGCATTGCTCCTTCTCAGAGTAAGTCGCCAGAAAGAAATCTTCTAAGGAACGAACAACTTCAGGATTGCTACATCTCCTCTAAGGCATTTACCTACAGCAGATGAAACACCTGCAAAGTCTCTTGCCTGAGCTACTCCTGAGCTGCCCATTTCTGAACAGCTTCCAGCAATGGAGGAGGAAAGGTCTGTGCACACTTGCACAGTCTCCCCATCCAAACATGTGCTGCCGCCAAGGAAGCCAATGGGCCACAGTAAGCATTTTGTCAAGACTGGCAGTGCACTTGCAGGGATCTCTCAAAATCCATTCCCACCTTTATTTCTAGTTCACCGAGTTTGGCCTGCAGCACTCAGGCCAACCCTGAGCTCCAGAGGGATCAGCTTGAAGCCCCTTCTGACTGCCTGGGGACATGGCTCCTACTGAACTGGGCAGCCAATGGCACAATCAAAGAGCACATCTGGAGCAAGGCTGCCACTGGTGCATTTTCCTGTCTGCTCTGCTCACAGGGAGCACAGTGTTCGTCCACTCTAACAAAACATGGCAGGCATCAATTAGTGGTTATAAAATGCTCTAAATTTTCACAAACCTTTGTAAGCACTGAACATTTTAACTGGCAGGACAGCCATGCCTGAGAATTCAGTGTATGGTTAGAAACAGACACGCTCTCCTACAGTTCTCATCACAAAAGGTCTCATGGAACAAACATGTGCCTACACTGAGATTTTACCAATGGAGGAACCAGATCAGAGGTGCACACTGGCTGGGTCAGGCCCATGAAGCAGATGAATGACTCAGTGAAGAAAAACAAGGTCTCCTAATGTTAGGCCCAGTGCTCCATCCGCCCACCAGAGATTACGACACAGGGGACAAGTACCTCCCCAGAGGGACGGATATAGCACCAAGGGCAAAGAGCCTTTGAAGTTGAGCATCACAGCATAAAGTACAGCACGTGCATATTACATATTTAGCTCCATCCTTGTTTCTCTTGTCACAAGGGCAGTAGTTTGTCAAGTCAGTTATCTTCTGGTCAGCCTGTTGCATTACTTCCTATGGAGATGCAGACAAAGACGTGCACGCTACTCAGTAGTAGAAAAGTTTTGTTTCACGTGGGCTGAAAGTTTCTTATACCCAAATGAGATTTTTGCATGCATCCACATACTCACCCAGATGCTGCCTCTGCTGTGCTCCATGCCTGAGTGTCATGCCATGTTTGCTCTGCGTAGCAGGCATATCATACGCACACAGTAACCTGGTACAAGAGCTCATTCTGCAGGCCGAGTCTCAGGCCAAAACTCACCTACAAAACCTAAAAGTGTTGCTACTTCTTTGCAGTGAATTGGGCTTTCACTAGGAATTAACATAAGCTGCAGCGACTAATCTTATACTCGGTGCCCTTGCTTGTTTTCCTTTCACAGTTCAACCACTTTCTTCCTTAACACTGAAATGCTGAAGTCTTACATAGCATTCTGAGCATTATTCTCTGCTGGCTGTATTTCTCTATGCTCCAAGCCTCTAGCACAACGCATGCAAAGGATAATGTCTGAACTTGTAATGCTTTTAACTAAAAAAATACTTCTAAAAACATAAATTATTCATTCTTCTTTGTCCATTGTTTTGAGCACTGAGTCTTCTCCCAAGATTTTACACAATTCATTCAGTCTGTGCTGCATTTTAGGAATTCCTGCAAGTTGGGACTCCAGTCTTTGTTTTTCCTCACTCAGTGACAAGCGGACGTCCGTGTTCAGCTGTTCAAAATGCCAGCCTCCTTGTCCATCAAACTGCAGCAAGTGAGTGTGATACTTCCTGCATTAGAAAATAATGCATCAGTAATGGCTCATTTCTGCACACCAGTCTGGATGTTTGTGTCTATTCTCAATGGTGTCTCTCAGGAAGCTGAGTGCAGGAAGCCGTAGTTCTGGATCTGGTAAGAGTCTCGCAAGCTCTTCAGTGACTCATATACCTAGGACACTCCTTTGTGGGGGGTTTGGGCATCTCAAATCCAGTCACCAGGACTTCCCCAGGCCATCACCACTGGTGTCATTACAGATATCTACCACACAATGCCTGATGAGCACTCCTCCCAGCTTCAGTCTGCTGCACACCAAACAATCCCTTCTCTTCAGAAGAAAGAAATAGAACACGTGCCCCAGTTCATTTTATTTGTTTCTCTTTGCAGGAGATGTTAGATCTCCTTAGAAGAAAATACATTCAGGCAAGCATCGTGCACCTGACGCTACTGACAAAACTGGTTTGTTCAATTTATACCTCAGTTTGTTCCCCTGCATTTTATAAGGTGGGATAAATAAACTTCCAGTCCTAAAACACTGCAAGGAGTCAAACTAAAAGTCTGTGCAAGAGTCACAGATCTTTCAGTGAGTATCAGGGTGTGTGCACTACAAATATTCAAAGGTGTGCGTGTGGGGGGGGTTTGCCAAGACCTGACAAGACATTTATCAGGAGGTGCAAGAGGAAGAGCAGAGAGCTCCCTCAGAGCTGCTGTTACAACTGTGCAATTTATCACTGTAAATTATAGAAGATAAAGCACATCATGAAAGGGCAATTATAAATCCCATGCGGGGAATGTGACAGTTTAATAAACTCGGTAGCTTATGACACGAGGTTCAAACAAGATTCAGCTCTAGGCTTACACTCACCACTTCTTGCATATTAATCTTTGAGACACAAAATACTTAGCCTCCCTATTTTTTTTCCCCATTAAAAAATAACAATAATAATAACATCAGGAAGCCAAGAGAGCTGACTAAGACATCTAATTGTGGTTCTCCAGGAAGGCAGCCAATGTTCTGAATGAAAGAGCAAGTATTTCATGGTATAATCTTAAGGAGTTAAGCAGCATGTGACCCCTATACAGTGCAGTCTCTATGAAAGCATATCTGAATGAAAGACATTTGATCCTTGTTTCTGAATACTCAGAACTTGCTCTTTGTTTCTCAATAACAAGGTCAGCACATCCCACCTAGCCACCTGCTTTTATCAGTTCCTGCTCCCTGCAAATCGTCAGATTTCCAATAGTTTCAGTAACACTGGAGGCCACAAAAGCAATTCCAAACTTTTCTGAACAGCATGAGTACTAGGAAATAAGAAATGTCCATGGAAATCTGAATTCCAAGATCTTTCTCACCAGTTCTTTCGCATATTTTCCCACTGCACTATCACTATTTATAGGTGGAATACTCTCAAATACTTGTTTTCTTGAGCAGTTGTTTTGAAATAATCCCAGCCTCCACCATCACTGTCTCCACAGAGGAAGAATGAACGCTCAGAAAACTTTTTCAGAGAAGCAGAAACTGCTACAATTTTGTTTCTTTACGGTGACAAATTGGTAATGTGCTTTTTTGTCACCGGCTTAAAAAAGCAAACAATGTGATATTGGAGACCAAGGACTTGAGTACTGATAGTCTCAGCTGATGTCAGCTTACACCCTCTTATCTCCATTTTCCCTTTAAAGTATTTGGTTGTTTTAGGTATTCACCAGCTATATTTCCTTTGAGGGTCTCCATACTAAGTACTACCTCACTAGAACATACTTCTTGTATTTCTCTTTTTACTATAAAATCACATTTTGAAAGCTCACAGGCCCTGCAGATACAGAACACTGCTGAAGTTAAACCAGTGGATGTACCAATTCCTATGAAAGAACAAAGAGCAGGTAAACCACTACTTGCCATGTTTCCCATCTTCTCCCAAGCACTGGTAAACTTCCCCAGGCCAGCTCATGTACCTTGTCATCTTTGAAGAATAATATGGTGATGAGTTGTGGCTGTGGTGTAGTGGACCAATTAACTGCCTTTCAGCTACCTGTGTGTTGCCATTTATAGTTAATAACTGGCACAAATTTTAAAAAAAATGAGAGGGAGGAGTAAGTGTGTCTCAAATAATGAAGAGAAATGAATGGTAAATGCATTTACATTGTTATTATTTTAGACAGATTATCTTACAAAGTGCAGTAGATATTGATTAAACAACTGCCCTAATACAGAACAAAGGCCAACCCATGTCTGTCAGAAAGCTGAAAGCAAGGCCTCTCACAAATTCCTGGCCATACTTACCAAAGAGAAGGTCTGTGTGTTATAGAAAGCAGGGATATCCCGGCAGCTTTTGCAGCTTGGAATATCTTTCCTTCAACATCAATGCTTACAGCACTCGTGCATTCATCCAGCAGTGCATATTTTGGCCTTTCAAAAGTAAATAAAGGACATAAGTCATCTATGTTTTGGACAGTATTCCTACACATTTAATTGAGAGAACAGTAGAAAGTAGATGTTTTTTGCAGGAAAGCCGCCTCTCATCTGCAGTTGGAAGCCAGCTAGCACCATCAGGTACAGATGTGGCTTCCAGGAAAAATGTGTTTTATTTCCTGGTCCATCTGAGCACACAGTGCTCTAACTCCTGTGTCCCAGTTTGACCTGGTATTACTCTGTTCTGTCAACAGGCCATGCAATAACTACAGCCAGCTCACAGAGTCTCAATTCACTGCTGTGTACTGACTGCCTTTGCAAGGTTTCCAGTCTTAAAAATAAAATAAAACCTGGAGTTTGGCTTTCCAACTCTCACAAGCTCTAAAGCCGACAACCAGTTTTCTGCAATACTTGTAGGACAGATGCAGGGATGATATTTGTGCCTGATTAGATAAAGAAAGAAACATTCACAGAATGTAATGCCACATTTGCTAAAAGCAAAGTTTAAGTAAGAAGCACTACCCAAGCTACAAGCTGAACTTGCACGAATAAATGACAAAGTATGCAGTCCTATACCACAGTCTAGAAGTACTGCACATTGTATAGAGATTACAGGCTACTGCTGCTCAAACTACTAGAGCAAACCTCCCAAACTCCTCCTCATTTTCAGATATTAAAGAACAAATCAAAATGCTTACTTATGATAAAACATACGAGCCATGCCCATCCTTTGTTTTTCTCCTCCTGATAAGACATCTTTCCAATCCATGATGGCATCCCAGCCTTATAAAAAAATGCAAACAAAGCATGTCAGGACAACATAGGTTTGTGATGAAAATACACCTTCACTTGCAACATCTCTGCAACCCCCAACTAAAGTAATAAAGTTCAGGGTTCTGGATCACATCTTCTGAAACACTTCAATGCTTTTCCACTGGCACTCCATTGGAAAGAAGTCCCAAATGTCGTGTCAGTGTTGAAAGCAGAATTTAGACTCTCCCAGTTAGAAAACTTGACTTACCATCTCTGTGAACAGACATCACTGACATATGTATAACTAACCATTTTTCTGCCACATTTTTGCTATTCCTTCTTGAAATGCACGAGTGGAAATTCAAAACAAATTCAGCATATGAAAGGAAATAAATGTAAAGAACATAAGCAGCAGTGTCAGATTAGAATGCTTATTGTCTGGCTCCTCTCACTGCTGTGAGTCAGCAAACTTTGCAGGAGCACAGACACAGACACACAGATGCATTCCCTGTGCCCAGACAAGCAGCCAACATACAAAGCAGAGCACACAGACAGGAGCATTTTGCATACAAACTTCCTGATATTTTGGATTTAGAAGTGACCCACAGCTGTTACAACACTGAGTATTCTTATTTAATATTCTGCACAGCCTCTAAATGATTTTCATCACTTTCAGACACATGCAACGGGGTGGTGAGGAGCTTTACCTGTGATGTTACAGTGGACGTGTGTTTCTGTGAGTATTATGGCATGGCTCTTTCCAACTCATGAAAAACTATCTTCAAATACCAAATCACAGCATTAGAAGTAAGTTTCTAGTTAATCCAAATAGACAGAATAGCAAAACAGCAAGTAAGGGGAGTTTTGAAATAGGAGAGTGGGGACACAGAGAAAATCTGGTGAGACATTTTTCTCACTTATCATTTATTAATAAGAGCCAAGTGAAGAAAATGCCATTTTTCCCAATCAGCTCAGAAGCACCGTAACTGAAAAATGAACAATGCAAATAAAACCCCTTTTCTGAAAACAGTTGCCAGAAAACACTATGAGCAAAGTCAAACAAGCAGGGAAATGATCATCCCTCTCTACTCAGCACTGGTGAGGCTACACCTCGAGTGCTGTGTTCAGCTGTGGACCCCTCATTACAAGAAAGACATGGAGGCCCTGGAATGTGTCCAGAGAAGGGCAACAAAGCTGGTGAGGGGTCTGGAGCACAGGTGCGATGGGGAGCGGCTGATGGAACTGGGATGATTTGGTCTGCAGAAGAGGAGCCACGTGCAGTGCTTTCTGATAGCTGGCTCCCAGCGGAGATGAGGCTGTGTAATGGTCATCACCCTGACCAGTTCTGGGACAGGGGAAGGATACACAGAAGCTGTGTGTGATGATCGGTCCTGATACTGGGACCACACAGAAAGCTGTAGTGCTGCTCCACCAGAGCTTCCAAAGAAAGATGATAAAATGCCTGGAGCACTCCTTTTTGATAAAGAGCGCAAGAGAAATGTCCTTCATGAGAACCATAGAAATAGTTACACTTCCAAAGGCAACGCTCGTGCTACTGTTTATACTTTCTTGGTTTAAAGCTGATAAAACAGATGAGCTCCGGGGCTGTGCTGTGATGGAAGCTCTGGATTTCAGCAAGGGTGTGGGTGGGCGCGCATGTGTGCACGTGCCCATGGAAGCAGCACCCGTGTTCTGATCAGCTGGTTTATGAAGGATTAGCAAGAGACAAAAATAGAATGAGGTTCAGGAAAGGGACGCAAAATGGAAAGGAAATATCACTTGTCAGCAGTCATTCTATTCTTTCCTCAAAGGGGTAAGATCTAGCCTCAGTTCACCAGGATACAAGGGTCAGATCTGTGGTCCCTTCAGCTTATGTTCTACTTTAATATTAGCAGTGCATCTTGCCTCCTTCTACCTTGCTCCCTCCCTCAACTTTCTTATTCACCATTGTTATGTCTTAGAAAATAGATAAGGAAGGCTCCACTTTAGTATTATCCCTTTGCAATTTTAAAAATGATTTTCTAATATCTGCACAATTTCCTCTGAACACTTAGAAATCTAACAATAAACCAGCTTACTATGGTGCATTAACAGCAATGCATCTGCTTGTTTCTCTTTTCTTTCTGCAGGTCAGTAAAGAATCTCAGTGTTCTGGAAGTATCAGCCAAGTCAGGGGCTTTCATCACCCACAGCTACATCCATTTTACAAATGAAGAAAAGAAATGGCTTGTCTATGAATGCAGCACAAATCTCTAAGGCGGTACAAATGTAATCCTGGCATTCAGCACCCAAATTCCTCACCCAGCCTCTTGGTACACACAGCTTTCGACTGCATGCGAGAAGATGTCACTGTGATAAACGCTAGATGCCTCAGAAATGCCTTCTGCAACCAGTAAGACAAAGAGCATGTGCAGTGTGCTCAGGCAGAGGAACAGCACTAGAAACTGATAGAAACAGTAGAAATTAGTGATTGCCTCCTGATAGCAGCAGCTCATTTTCTTGCATGGTCTCTTTTGTAATTCCTTTTTCTCAATTTTCTTAAGAAAAAAAAAAGGGTTACATTTGGGTTCTGTAATGCTATGCATCCCGTGTCCTCATGCATCCCTGCACCTACATGCAAGATCAATCAGCTGCCAAAAAAATAGCAATATAGAAGTTCCTTTTCCTGAGCTCATCAGATATGGACCGGAGGATTGCAGAATGATAGGAGAAAGGCTACAGCAGCAAACTGCAGTCAAGGAGGCTGCCCCAATGAGTTTCTGAACATGGAGCCTTTCTCAGTATACGTGTCCCCAGGCAGCTGTCAACAGGAAGGCAGCCCTGGTGCTTTGCAGGATGAACGTACAAAGGGAAATCCTGAGCTGAGGAAGGCACAACGAGACAAGCAATTGCATGAGCCCAGCTCAGTGTGGCACTGCAGGGATTTGTGGCTCTTCAGAGCAAATGGAAAAGCTGGTGGAGCATGCCAGTTACTGCCAGTGCCATTAACAAAAGCAAATCCAGGGCTAAAATGATCCAATGGAAAAATCTGAGAGAGAGAAAATCTCCTTGTCATGTGTTTATATGTGGCTTAGCAGGAGGGTTCCTTGGACAAGACCCAAACTTGTGACAAATGCGCACAATAATGAGCAATAATTATAATCTGGGGTGCTGAGGAACCATAAACAGGTTGAACTTGTTCAGTACTGTCATCAGCCCTAAGCAGACAGGCCTGGCCCTGCATGCAGCACGCTGCCTCATGCACTCACGGCTTCTTTCATGTGACAGGCTACCAGGCACCCATGGCTCCCATGCTAGTGATATGCGCTAAGTATACAGGGGTTTCTAGAGCAGGTCAGCAAAGGAGCCACTCCATGCACATCCATGCATATCTCCATACTACTCCTCAGGTTTCTGGATGTGCATTTGCCTCCCACACTGCATACAACCTTACTTGTTACCCTCATGTTGCATGCAATTATTGTGCTGCTGTAGCTAGCAACGTTGCAGGTGTTGATGGGGGACCTCAGTGATAGCGCTACTAAGTAGCGTTAGCATCACGCACAAAAGCTTCTTCACGCTGCCTCATTGCACCCAGTACATTGCAATCCTAAATCACTGTCACTCTCTTCAGCTTACGCCAAGTTTGCTGTGTTTTAGATGAGAACAAGGTTAAGGAGAACAGATTTGTTGCTGGAGTGCAATGGTAAGCAATGCAGTGCCATTCTGCAAACACAGCTATGGGATGCTGCAGGAAGGGAATTCTGCCCCAGCTGCAAGGTCTGCAGCTGGCATGGGAGCTGTGCTAGGGCTGGGGCTCAGCAGCAACAGGACAGATGTTGTTGGGGTGGGTAACTTGTTTGGAGTTTTTTTGGTGTATTCTGCTGCTACTGACAATTTTTTTCATAATGGTAACATAGAAGCTAAATACTCAATTGGACTACTTATTAACTATCCAAATTACTTTTAACTGGGTCAAACCTTATGGCTACAAAAAGAGGAATTTCTGCCATTGGCAGCAATAATAGCAGGCTTTTTTGGCTCCTCTACCCTCGGATCTGGATGACCCTTGAACTGATGCAACATGAAAGTAACTCAGCCAAAGACAGTAAAGTTCAGCCAGGACAAACAGATTTGGAGCCAGAGCTGCGTACTCCTGGCTCCATCTGTCTTTTCATAGCCGCCCACAGGGAGCAGATTTATTCAAAGCTATAAAGTGCCACATTATATGTGCATGGCATTCGTGATCAATTAGAGCAAGAAGGTCATGCCTCAAGGAGCCGGCTGGCTGGCAGAGGCACAGCACTGCAGGGATGGGTGAAAGGGAGTACAGGCTATAGAGATGAAGAGGATCTACAGCAAAAATACAAGAATTACAACATTTTGTTTCTATAATGAGATGATTGGCAGATGAGAGCTTTATTCCTGGAATGATTTATTCACACACAGACCCAAGAATCTGAATAACTAAAATTGGTTCTGTTGCTGTTTTGTTTTCAGATGCTGTACGTTTACAAAATATGTATACAAGTAGAAATTTGCTTAGAATTTTTCAGCACAACTTTTTCTATTGGAAAATGTCATTTCTTTTTGTTAACTATCAGAGCAGTTTGCAAAAAGAATGAGACAATTTTGGGCAAATCCTTTGTTCTACAAGTTTTACATAGGACTTTTCATTATTTTGCAAACAAAACTTTCAGTTCTTAGTGGAAACCATTCTAGTTTAAAAATCTAATTTTAAGTAAAAGAGTAAAATAATAAATAATAAAAATAAACCTTCAGCTATGCATGAACAAAAATGTCAACTGTTCACTTTTGAGAAGCACTTCTCTGGCTTGCTGGTTCAAAAATAAGAATATGATCTTTGAACTGAACTAGGGGAACTCTGAAGAAAATGTAAGTATATCAAATCCATGCAACATGTCACATCACGTCACAGATTTCTTTCTTCTCCTAATGCCCAAGGAGAAAAGAGACTAAGTAAGTGTATTACAGCCCTAAAAACGTCCTGGTATGTAATAATCTGTTCCTTGTTTTCCGGCTTTGCCCACTTGTGTCATTTTAGATTAAAGTCTGTAAGACACTCTTTGTAACATTTTTTTCTCCCAACCACAGTGTTCCTTTATCCTCATCTGAGTCAGGATCCCATGCAGTTTCCAGAGCTCTCAATACTTTTTTTTTACAGCTCACTTCTTAAGTCTCACTTGTGCAGTTAGACAAGCAGGAGAGCAAAGATGGGATCAGCAATAAAACTAGATTACTGTCTTTTGGCACAGAAAGTGGAGCTAGACTGATCCAAACCTGGGTTTTCAGTTTGGCAATGCAGAACACCAATCCAGGCAACAGCATCTTAGAGGTGAAGCACAGTAACTGCCTCATCATCAGTGACACACTCCAGCTGCAAGGCTATAAACCACAGTGATGCACATTTAGAGACCGCCAGGGATGGATATGGTTTTGGCTGCTGAGGGTCATATTCTGTTCAGTCTGTCTGCAAGTACCAACAGGCTATGAACGTACACTCCACAGTGGCTTCCTGCCACTTACAATTTAACTGCTTTTCCTTTTCCAGCTCCCTACTCCAAAACATCTGCTCATTCTTCTGCAGACTGCACACTTGACTTAGAGACCTGAGTGACTCAGGGATACTAACAGTAATACTTTTAGTATCAGTGGAGTGAGTACAGACCTCCTCTGCAATTATTCCGATCACTGATTTTAGCTCCCTGACCCTTCTTTTTAATGCTTGTTGTCATTGCAACAGGTCTGAATGAACTAGAATGCTGACATTTTTATATTCTATTGTATCCTGAGGGTCAGCAGCCATTAGTACATTCTTAGCTAAGAAGCATTAATCCATGAATCCTCTTCTTAAGGCAAACAACATTGAGAGCATATTGGCAACTTAAATGACAAGTGGTAGATGGTAAAGCTTTGCTGTCAGTCAGTGGCATTTGGTTATTGTTAACTTGTTTACACTGGTGTGGTTGTTGCTGCTTATGTTAATGGAGGGAGGTAAAGGTCAGCCTCACTAATACGTACGCCCAAGGAAGGGATTTTGTAAAAGTTTTTACAAGAATATGCAATTTACCTCCCTCTCTCTGAACTATGTGGTACAGATGAACCACATGCAGGATACACTCCAGATCTTGATCTTGGTAGCCTTTCTCATGCATGTCTTCCACGGAATCGGGATAGATGACCTGATCACGCAGTGTTCCAATGGACATGTAGGGTCTGCAAAACAATTCAGAGAAACCAGTCATCTAGAGCTGACTCTGAGAGAGTGTATCTTATTGAGGATCTATGAGCAGAGTACAATACTTTAAATACCACGTTGCTAAAACTGGATTCATCTGCAGATACACTGTGGGTGAATGTTTTTCTAAACTTATCTTAGGGACAGTGTATTGTTTACATAACAGTTGATTACAAAAGAGTAACATGGGTATTATTACTATGAAAACAAAATGACAGAACAAACATCCATTTCACAGGCCATTCTGAGTGTTTTTACTGGGAATAAGAAGCAGCTTCTGATCTTACCACATCCCCTGACCAGGTAATCTCATCCCTCATACTAAAATAAGCTGTCCCCACTCTGGAGCCAGGGTTGACTGTCATGAGCTGTGTACAGGTCCTAAGCATTCTCCTAGCCTCTACACAAAGTCATTTCAAAGAACAGTTTTACAGTAGTTTAGATGCTAGCAGGCTATCCAGGCACCCTAAGACAGCAGTTACCTCCCACCCAATTACTGGGGAAAACAAATAAATGCCAGCAGTAAGCGTGGGAATAGCTCTGTTTACTCCAAGTGATCCCAATCCAGCATCTGTTTGCAAAGGCCAGGCCACTGTATGTAGAGGCCTCATGTTGATAATTCCCACTTCTGACCTGCCTCATCCAACCATATATAATCAGTGACTTTATCAACCTCATTGATGCTGTGTGAAGACTAGACTTAGTAAGGACTCAATAGGTTGTCCTGGAGCTGAGTTTACTGAAGCAGTGAGATGCTTTAGGGTCAAAATTTGGGCTAGCAAAGAGAAATTTAATGCACCCTACAGAACTTTGGTTTATGGACTCTGATGGATCATTTGAGAAATAGGGCCAAAGATTGCTGGTCACAAGGTTATCTAGTTCTTATAAATTGGAAACAACCTGAGAACGATCTGTAGGATTTTGAGATCAAAGGTGAATGTAAGAGCTGGACAGTCAAGCTCAAGACCCTGACCTGCTTTTTGTGCCAGTAGTTACACTAACTCCTTCTGCCAAAACAATATTTGTCTTACTAAAGCTGTGGCAATGGCAGGGGCTGATAGCACAGAGGAGCAGCTAACATTGGGCCAGCAATAAGGAGTCTTTCAGGCAGCTTACTCTTGCCACAGAGAACAGATTGTTGTTTGTGCCGCTGAAGACCACATTGGTCTGTACCCACCTGTATTTACACTACTTTCACCACCAGCTGGGTGAAGGTGGGAAGGACAGGGTATCTAACTGCTCACAAACATCTGGTCATCTCCCTGCTGTTGGCAGCACGGAGCAAAACCAGAACCACAGCTCAGATAAAAGCACTGCTGCTTCTTTTTGTTCATCACAAGAGTGAACCATTTACCTTAACAGGGCTGTTGCAAAACCTTAACTCTAAACATTATGTAATTTCATGAAGTAATGATAAATTACATTTCCACAGAGCTCTTAAAATAAATAAGTAAAATCTGCAAAGGTTTTCATTAATTGCATCTGTAAAAATCACTTCATCTGTGCCAGACTGCTGCCATCTCTGGGACAGAAGACAGCAACTCCACCTAGGCTAAGAAAAATTTAGCTGAGGATGTGAATAAAACTATGCAATTTAGGTGAAGCTGCAGGTGAGAGCAAGGAGAAGAGCTACCTGTCATATAATTTGTCTGGGGATTAATACCCTACTCTTCTGAAGTATGGTTCTATAATCACTAACAGCTCTGAGATTTAACCTACAGCAAAAGCAGGAAGGCAAAGCTCAAAAACAGCACATGAGGCCTCCTGTTCCCATGCTGAGTCACCAGCACCACTTCCTGGTACAACTGGATTTTCCTTGTGGTCTCCTATCTGAACGCACCGGTTGATACCAAGCTCATCTCTCTCCATCTAGTTTGTAAAAAGAAACAAAAAGCCCAGCCTGCAGTATTATAGTGAAATCCTTTAATTAATAACTAAATGGTTTCAGGTTATGGGTCTGTCCCAGAATGTGGGAGAGTAAGTTCTGCTTCCTTCATCTCAGAAGGAGCCACTCATGTCCCTGAGGGCGCAATTCATCTTGCTTGGCATAAAGTCTAGGGCTTCAGCTCTTGCCAAAACAGAGAGGCCCCCCTGTGGTTGATTTATTGCATTTATTTTAGGGTGGGAATGGATTTCCTCCTGGAGTTGTCTTAGTCGCGCAGTGGGGGGCAATGCACAGACAATGAACTTAGCCAACTTCTGAAGGGCCAAAGCTAGATGAGCTTTCTCTCACGCTAAGCCACGCTTACCTACCCACAACTTGGGTTACTGAAGACAATAACCTCTTCATCTACCACGCGTGCCTTATAGACAAACAGACTAAAACCTGTTAAATATCAGAGGTTATTGCAACAGAGTTTACATGTGTTTAATAGCTAGACATTAGGCAGCAAGCAGTCTGAGAAGCTGGATACAGCAAGTATAAAATCTTGTCTTTGCTAGTTAGCTCCTTGTTAAAAGATGGCATTCATTACATTTTTAGCAGTTCAAACAGCAAAACCAGTCTTTTTGTCCTGAAGTTACACTTTAATTTAACTGGTCATAATTGATTTCTTATGAAGTTTTTGCTTTCAGACAGAGTGTCTCAGTGTCTGGCTGGAAGAAAGCAACTTCTGTGTGGGTCATATGTCTGTGACAGTAATAGCTCTGCAATTATTATCATTATTTCCCTGCTTTCTGACAAGAGAGTTGGTTTTGGAGAGTATTTAAGATCAGTAATTATTTGGTTTTTTTAAACTTTGATATCAAACATCCAGAACACTAAGCAAACATACAGATTCTTGCCTAGTTTTCTGGAATTTCATGGCATTTATTGGTAGAGACATTTTCAGCTCTTACAAACCGATATTTTTAGGCCAAGTTTGATGTTTTCATTGTATCACCAGTTCCTGTATGGTACATCTAGTGCTTCGCTTTCTAGAGTTGTAACTTCATCTTGCTAGTAACAAGCTGTCATCCCCAAGGTTTATGAGTTCTCCCTTGCAGTGCAGGCTTTAAAGAAAGATGATACCAACACAAGCCGCAATCCGAAGCCTGTGATGTGGACAGGTCCCCAGTGCCCTGTTGATGCCTTGCATTGTATACAACACGGGCCAAACATTAGAGAAATCACTTGGGAGGAAGGGGAAGTGTTGCAGTTGATAGCATCTCTTTACTGCTGATAGCTTTGGTGGAGGGAAACCAAGGGCAGGTGGCATGAAACGGATTGGAGTACGTACCAGGCACTTGTCTTTTGGGAACGCAGGATAACTGACGCTTAGGAAATGTTAGGCAACACCAATTCAAAGGGATGGTAGATCAATGCTCCACACTGCAAATGAGCAGTACTAATATCTGTTAAGTCATTGATGTCTTAGAAAAACAGAGGGCTTCACTTTTTGTGTACTGAATTAAGGAAGATGTCTTGCTTTGATGCCAAGAAACGTCACAATTTTGAACAAGCCAAATCCACATGTAACACTTACAAATATTTCCTGAATGTATTTAAAGGCTTTTTGATCTTCTAAGCATATAAACTGTGCTAAAAGAACCAATTACCTGTTCTGACATCCAGTACACTTAAAGAATTATATCAACTAATCAAAATTACCCAGAGAGGTTGTGGATGTCCCATCCCTGGAGGCATTCAAGGCCAGGCTGGATGTGGCTCTGGACAGCCTGGTCTGGTGGTGGGTGACCCTGGTCAAGCCAGGACAGTTGAAACTAGATGATTTTTGAGGTCTTTTTCATCCCAGGCCATTCTATGAATCTATGAATACACACTTTGAGAATCTCTAAAGCAATCTGAATGGGTCAGAATCCTAATTAGAAGCATTCTGAAATAAACAAGGGACTGAAAATACATCTTAATTAAGTGGTCGGTGTCAGAAGTTAAGGGAGATTAGCCCAGGGAACTGCTTCCAGGTACAGTACGTAGGGCTCCTTGTCTTCCTTCACATAGGCTGTGATTTAACACTTCATCCATGGAAACTGAAGTCTAAAAATAAGAGGCCTGCCTGTGATTCTGAAACCCAACTCCATGCCTCCAAATAGGGATTTGACTTGTCATCTGCTGCCCAAATATGTTTGCAGTTATTACTACACTACTGTTCCCTCAGACAGCCAAAGTTACATGAGAAAAGACTAATCCTCTAGAAAATGAGGTGTGATGTAACTATAAACTTTTGACCAACCTATCTTTAATATTTCTGTTTCTGGCTGTCAAGGTGTATATTTAATATAACTAAGAAAGAGAGAGAGGGGGAAATGCTACACCTGAGATTCTCCATTACAGATAAATTGCAGGTTGGATTTTCAAATGAGACTGGGATCGTTTCCAGTGCCAGCTATGACATCTGAAGCAAAATATACTCCAAATTTAGGAACATTTACTCAAGAAGATGACTCTGGAGCCCAAGTTCCAGCCACAGAGGTGCCTTCGTAGGAAACCTGAAAGATCATCATGAACACTAAAGAAACTCCAGTCATGAAAGCATAGCTCACGCCTACAGATATGCCCAAATGTCCTCAAAATCCTCAGAAGGGATTTTGCCTGGCAAGGACAATGAAAGCAATAGTTTCAAATTCAGCACAAACCACAGTGGCTACCAGGCATGCAAGATGAGGGTATGCAGTCTAAGCTACTGGTCAGCAAACCTCTCCTAAGAATTGGGTTCAGGCTAAGTTCTCAGTTTGCAGGGGATCATTTTCCCATTTTTCTAGGCTAGCATCCAGGTCAAAGAGAAGTCAAAGGGAAGGGCACTTTCTGATCTTCCCACTGAAGCAAAGAAAATGCTGCTTAGAGATAGTAATTGTGTCGAAAAGGAGAGTAATCGGAAAGAACCTAATTATATATTATACTGGTCAGACTCCTCAACTGGAAGGAAGAAGAGTTTGATCGCAGTCCTCACCACATATTATTTTTGTTGTTTCTTTTCAATCCAGTACTCTCTAATCTAATACGCAGTAGTAATCCTTTCTGTAGCACTGTATAAGCACA